TGTTGCATCGTACCGCGACGTTAAATAAGGCACTTCTTGGGAGGCAACCCAAGTTCTCTGCTTTAATTCGTTATTGCTTTTTTTTTCATAAATTAGCATTACTTTTATTTATTACTTTGATATATTTTGGTGTTACAATTTGAGCAGGTTGGGTATTAGAAGAAGAGATCTGAATTTGTTGGTGATAAATGGGGGGAAGTTTGAGTACCCACCAGAATTGTTGGTGGCACCACCACGCTTGGATTGAGGGAGTTCTCTTTACCTTTCCCCTTACTCTTATTTTGATTGCATTGAGGGTAATGCAAATTTTGTGTTTGGGGGAACGCATTCATGATTGTAGGTGCTGCTTTTAGTTCATTTTTATGCTTTCTAGTGTTAGCAATAACCTCTTTGAGTTTTCTTTGCCATGGTTCTTTCCCAAAGTTATAATTTTTGAATCGGGTATCTTTTTATTTTTTTTAGTAGTAGCGGGTAGTTAATAAATTAGTGTTGGTAGTATTTTTCTTGTCCCTAGCCAACTCATGGCTTGTTTGGTACCAATACAACTTAAACATTAGCATATGAATTGTTGGTAGTTTAAGAAAAAATGATTTTTTTTGAAGTAATATCTTTGTTGTGACTTTTAGGTTCGATTTTTGGCTCTTTAATTCACTAAATAGTATTTTAGGCTATGCATGACTTCTTGAGTTCATTTGCTCTCATTGGACCTTGAATATATACCCAACTTGAGTGTTGCATGTGCCATGAGTGGAAAGGTTCTTGTTGAGTTCTTTTCCTTCTTTTGTGGTATAGGCATTGCCCTAAGTGTGTATCAAGGTGAAATCTTAGGTTGCACTTAGTTTGAAAAGTGATTGTAGGCTTTCATTGGATCGCTTGTACCTTAAATTGTCCACCCTTTGCAGGTTTACCCTAGTCAACTCCTTTGAGCTTTTAGTTTTTTATTAAGCAACCACATTACAAACCTTTTCCCTTTTATATTGACCTCTTTTGATATTCTGGCCTTCTTGAGAACTTGAAGCTACAATTTAGACTTTTGGCCTAAGTTTGGGGAAGTTGATGAGAAAAGTTTGTTGTGGAAGCTAAATGATTGAAGGAGATAACTTTACCATATTGACAAAAGTGTATATATTTCTCCAAAAAAGAAGAGAGAAAGAAAAAAAAGTATTCCTGAAATAAAAAAGGTTGACATGGTGTTAAAGTTGATAAAGGAGAAAAAGGATGGAATTTTGATTAGAAAGTGTTTTGAAGTGCTAAATTGTAGTACTTAGGAAGGTCATAGTCACCTCTTATCTATATTGATATCCTACCTCTAACCAAAAGCCTACATTATATTCCCACAACTCATAAATGATTTTGAATTAGGTGCAACTACATTAGTGGAGATTTACACTAAGGGCATAGGCGGACCCAGGATTTGAGCACGACGGGGGCACCACTGTACGCTAATCACCAACGATAAAATTCGGCGTGCAACTCTTTGAAAACATAATGATTATGATGACTTATCATCTAAGTATAAACAAAAGGAAGTTTTAAAGAAAAATAAAACACCAAACAGAGAGAGAGAGAGAGAGAGAGAGAGAGTTCTTCGCAAAATGGGTACTATGTGAAGAGAGGATGTTTGATTAAGCATGTTTCACACTTCAACATTTTTAGTTTTTTAATAAAAAAGAGGTCAGTGATCAAAAGAGCGTTCAAACTTTAAATTATCAAGAACTTACTAAAGAAATCAAAATTAAGGGTATGCTAATAGCCAAAAAACTGAAGAAGAGTCTCAAACTCTTAGTTGTTATTGCCAAGTCAGAGTCAAAGTGATTGTTGAAGAAGGTTGTTACAGAAGAATTTGTATTTCTCTATTTGTGGAGCGATAATTTGCAAATAGAGGCTTTTAATTTTAATGGAGGAATTTTAAAAAGAATAAGATTAATTAAGTTGACTATTATATATTAATACTAAACTATAACTGAATTCAAAAGGAAGAAGATAAAAGTAAAAAGTAAAACAATTTGCTATTAAGTATAAATTACGTTGTATTTATTCAAAGAACTAAAATAAAAGGGAGGAGAAAAAGCTGAGAACTAAAATAAAAAGGGAGGAGAAAAAGCCGAGAACTAAAACAAAAGGGAGGAGAAAAAGCCGAAGAGGGTCTCAAACCCACATCTTCTAGCAAAGGAAGGATTTAAAGTCCCTACAACTACTTCTCTTGTCAGCCTTTTTATGCTTGGGGGCACAAGTAAATATTTAAGGGGTCTCATATATATGTACAAATATATATAACGTATATATAGGGTTTTTGCTGAGGCTAACGGGGTCCCATGACCCCTCAACCTACAACATAGGTCCGCCTCTGACTAAGGGCAAGCATATGATATCACTTTTGAGCAGTTCAACATCTTTGTGAGATGGAATGCTTAATTCTTTCTACTTGTTATCCCACTCTTGTTTTGAAAGACATAGTATGTGTGTGAGATTCTTTGTTAATTGTGAGTTCATATGGAAACTCGAGTTGAGAACTTGTTTCTTTTTTCAATTGGGATGAATGAGCAAAAGAAAGTTATTTTGTGATGAAGAGGCAAATTTAGAGGCTTTGATGTCATGACTTTGATTGTTGCTTTGATTGGTAGTACTTGAATTAAAATTGAGCTTTTTATAAAGATGTGATGATTCATATACTTTGGATTAATTATTGGTACCAATCGAAGTCGTGAGTTTTGTGCATGGAATTGAGTTGCGACTGAGTGCTGAATTTTGTTGCTAGCTTGATTGTCTTGTTGTTCTTATGAGTCTAGCTTGTGTTTTGATTTGCTTGAGGGCAAGCAAAGAGTAAGTTTGGGGGAGTTAATAAGTTGGTATTTCCCCCCACTTCTCTTATGCCTTTTAATAAAGGTTATGCCCCAGTTTATGTGATTAATGGACTAATTATATTTTTAATGATCTAATTGCAGGTCATGGAGTTGGGTGAGAATTAAGAGATTGAAAATCATCAAATACATGAAAGAAAAAACATCAAATTCAAGCCAAAACTGAAGAAAAAAGCTAAAGAAGCAAAAGTCTATCATGCGCGGGTCACACAAGTCACCCACGCAGGTCACCCACGCAGTTGAAGAACTAGGATGCTGAAAGTTTAAGTTTTGGAATGGGCCACGTATCTTGCGTGGGCCACACATCTTGGTCACGCACAGAAAACTGAAGAAATAGAGTATTGGGCCATGCATCCTGCGTGAGCCACGCAACTTGGCCATGCAAGACCCAACGAGGATAATTTTGTCAGCTTTTTAGAAAAGTATAAATAGTACTTTTTAGGTCTTTTTGAGAACTTTTTGACATAGAGGAATATTGTATGAGCAACTGTTAGTTTTCTTAAGAGTTAACAAGTGACATCACGGTTTCTCAATCTTCTTTTTCTCTATCAGTATTTGGATTAAAGGATAATTTGATTATTTCTTCTATTGTCATGTCTAGCTAAACTCATTAGCTAGGGTTGTGAATCCGGAGTGGCATATGATATGGGTTATAAATATAGATCTGTCTTTGATTAAATATTGTATTATCTAATTATTCCATGTTTTCTTGTATAATTTGATGGTTGCAAACACTAGAGTAACGGCTATCACACTCAATTCTAACTTGGAAAAGTGGAACCGAGTTTAGGTATAAAGCAATTAGTAAGGAATTGGGTAGATTAAGGAATTAATCTCATCTCAATTAATAGAACCAAACTAGAAATAGGGAGATTGTTATTTGGGCATGAATAATTGTATTGCATAGCACTCTAAATAGCTTGGAAAGGCATTTATGATTTAAAACCTCTTAGTGTCGGAAAATACTAAGTTAGTGTTATTGATATTGTTGTCATAATACATGTTTAATTGATTGGAATCGAATACATCCATACTTATATCATAGCATACACGAAGGATGAGCAACCCTAGTGTTTTCTCTCATTGATTACTACTTTCTATTTTTTTTCGCATTCTAAGTGTTTGAATAAATTTCATAGTCATAATTTTAGAAGTAATTGCAGAAAATTAATCTTTTATTTGAAGATTACTTTAAGTTCATTGAATTCACGCACTCTTTGACATTCTAGCACACACCATACTCCTCGTGTTATCGAATCCAACCTTGTTAGGTTTATTATTGCAGTCGATCGTACTACTTTCAATTTGAGAGTAGAATTGGACGTGACCACAACCTACACTATTTCTAATAAGTTCAAACAATACCTACTCCAAATTTATCACAAAATCATATTTAAAATTTAACAAGATTAGTATTAAAGGAGTAGGAGATTTTAGGTTTCTCGCATCTGTTTTTGCGTTTTTATAGCTGTGATAGATATGTATAAACTTGAGGAAAAAAGAGAATGGAAACTCACGAATATTTCACGCTTGAAAATATGGAAAATAAAAAACGAAAAAAAAATCGGATCTAAACTTATTGACATTTGACTACATATTTGCAAACTTGTAATTGGCTAAAATACTACAAGGTCAGCTTATGAAGTGCATTATTCTGTAATTTTATCAAAAGAAAATGACATATTTCTATAGTCGAAAAGAATTTAGTAATGTTAAACTTTCTCACTTTACCTTAATGACATCACATAGTATGCTTAGAACTACAAGGTTCACAATTCTTTCTTTCTTTGTTAAATTTTATGGTCCGTCAAACACCACTGCATAAATTGAAACAAACGAGAGTAATAAAAGACTTGAGGACTATAGGCACGCACTTTGGGTGAGAATTATGCCAAATAGCTTACTGATGGAATATTTCTTGTAGCCCCTTTGGGAACAAACATTCAACCACCATTTTTACTTCTTCAAAGCAACATAATACCTTGTAAATACTAGTTAATAATCCTAGAAAAAGCTGTTAAAAACAGGTCTGACTACCACAGATCGTGATAAACAAGTAAGTAATTGTTTTCCTCATAAAGTTTTGTGTTAATTTTTTGAGCAATTCATTTTCATTTTCGTTTTAGATAATACTCAAACATGATTTTAGCTCTGGATTCCTCCCTGTCTAAGGCCAAGAAAATTTGCAGTGTTATTCTAAGAATTCTGGCTATCTGTGCGATGGTTTCAGCAGCCATAGTAATGGCAACAAGCCATGAGAAGATCACCATATTTTCTGTATCATTTGAAGCCAATTATAGTCGCACTCCAGCTTTCAAGTAAGCATTCTTTAAATTCTTGGTTATTAATTTACCGATTTAATTTATATAACTGACAATGTAAAGAATTTTTTATAATATCATACTTTAATCTATTGTAGCATATTATTAGTGTTATTTTCTAGGTTACTGATATTGTCAAACCTCTTTATAACAGCTTCGTTTGTTTCAGATTTTTTTAGTTGTTATAATGAAGTGATTTTATATAGAACATATGTTATAACATAACATGGAAATTGGTTCCAAAAGAAACTTGACTTTTATAGTGAATAGTTGTTATATAATGATGATGTTATAAAGAAGTCTGACCGTATCACTTATTATGAGTTGTTACTTATCATTACCTATAATTTTAAATGGCCATAGATAGTGGAAAAGACACTTATATATTCTCTATTTTGTTTTTCTCCCTTTTCTTAGGTATTTTTTCGTCGCAAACATTGGTGGAAGTGTCTATAGTATCGTTGTTCTTTTCCTACCTCGGAAGACTTCGCTGTCACGATTAATCCTAATCTCTGATTTGGTAAGTAATTAAGAGCTTCTAATTAACTCGATTGCATTTCTATTGGACTTCTTGGCCTTAAGAACATGGACGTTCTAGGATATCTTGTTATTATATGCACTCTTAGTTATAATAAATTGCATCTGACTTTGAATTGATTAATTTTAAATTCATGAATCTACTTTTGCTAAAAAAAAATGTACTCCATTCAATTTATGTGTCATACTTTTCTTTTTAGTGTGTCTCAAAAAAAATGACATATTTTCTTATTTTTTTAAACTTCCTACTTTACCCTTAATGAGATGATTTAAGGAATCTCGCATATCGTTGAAAGTGTCTATAGTTATAAAGAACAACTCGGTGCACAAGGTATCCCGCATTCACGCAGGGTCGGGGGAAGGAATACACTCCAAAGAGTGTGGTATAGATACAATGTACCCTAATTCAAACATTAGTGACTACTTCTACAGCTCGAATCTGTGACATGTATATCACATGAAGATAATTCATAGCCACACAAATTCATATGACTTATCTTAAACATAAGTTTCAAAAATCTTTTTTTTCTTTCTTAAACTCCACGCCAAGTCAAACGCCGCCATAAAAATTGGGACGGAGGAAGTATAATGTTATGGATATACACCACCAGAAAGTATATGCACGACTTTTCGACTATTCTTAAACATTATTTGCGTCTTCTATACATGTAGAACTTTTATATGACCCTTTTTCTTTTTTGGCCTGTCCGTGATGCTACAATTAGGTTGTGACAATGGTGTTAACTTCAAGTGTATCGGCAGCATTGGCGGTTGCTCATGTGGGAAAGAAAGGGAACTCTCATGCAGGCCGGCTACCAATTTGTGCCCAACTTCACAACTTTTGCAACCAAGTTGGTGGAGCTCTTATTGCTGCCTTCGTAGTGATGGAAAACAGGTATGAACAGCGGAAGCAAATAGCCAGAATCACTTGCATGTAATATAGATAACGCATAATCACAGATTTTAATCAAACATAAAATCGATATTTATTTCTTGAAGCGTGACTGTAATCGCGAAAAGATCTTCAAACATGAGCAAAAACCATTCACGAGGTCATCCTCCAGTTCCACGATTTTCTGCTGTGTGGCCCAAATAATGCCCGGAATTAGCAAAACTCGTGTAAGCAAGTGTCTTCTAGGAAAACCGTGTAGTAAAACCATTGCCTCCTTATGGAATAAGACCTCTTTATATAGCCACAGGTTTTAGGGTTTAAAACATTTTTCTAATCCTGCTGGGTCTTCCTTTTCCCCCAAGAAATATAATTCCATTTAATTCCTAATTATTCAGTCACAACAGGGACCGCAATATTTAATTAACGAGGCTTCTTATTATGGACTTAATTCGAAATATCCGATCCCGTTTGGACATAAAAAAATTCCTTTTTTCTAAAAATTTTTTTCTTTTTTTTCGAAATCATCGTTTGTTCTTACAATTTTCAATTTTTACTTGAAGATGCATTTTGGAAATTTTCAAAAATTCGAAAAACTCCAAAAAGTTATTTTTCAAAATTTTCACTCACAAAACTTCAAAAACAATCCAAATTTAAATTTATGTCCAAACACAACTCTAAATTTCAAATACCATTTTCACTTGAAAAAAAATTTCACCATTTTTTGAAATTTTACAATTCTTATGTCCAAACACCTACTAATACTACCATAATAAATTGTGAATTATTCCACTAAAAATTCGTAACTACACTCCTTAGTTCAATTTCGAAATTCTTCCATTAAACCTTATTTAACTCCCCACGTTAAGATTCGGATACTAATCGAATAAATTAAATTACTGATAATTTAATTCATTGATTATTTTCTTTAAACTTTCGCTTAACTTATTTCATGTGACGGATACAAAATCCATCTGCATGGTTTACATATGAAAACGTATAAGCTTTCGTAAAGGTGTATCATCAATCTCAAGACCGAGATATGGATTCCATCAACTAACTATTTCTTTGCCAATGTATGTCATTATTATCCAAGTTACTAGGCATATTGACCCACGAAAGAATCTTGCCTTTTAAAAATCAAAACAATAATAATATACACAACTAATAATAATTATATTGTAACGACTCGATCAGTCATTTTGAGCTCTAGCGCGTCGTTCAGCGGTTTGAGGCCATGAGCAACTTCACTTCAGGTATTATGACTTGTACGTATGGTCGGAATTGAATTTCGGGAAGTTCGGAGTTGATTTGGAAAGAGAATTCTCATTTCAGAAGTTTTAAGTTGAAAGAATTGACTAAGATTGGATTTTTGAGTAAACGACCTCGGAATAGGGATTCGAAGGTTCCAGCAGGTTCGTATGATGATTTCGGACTTGGGTGTATGTCCGGATCGGGTTTTGGAAGACCCGGGAACATTTCGGCACCTATCGTGGAAGTTAGCATTTTTGGAAGAATTTCATAAGTTTGGGTTGAAGTGCATTTCAGTGTTATCAATGTCTGTTTGAGATTCCGAGTATGGAATAGCTCCGTATGGTAATTCTGGTATTGGGCGCGCGATTGGAAGTGAATTCGGAGGTTAGTGGGTCATTTTGGAGTCATTTGGCTAAAGATATAAATTTAAAAGTTTTTGAGGAGTTTGACCGGAAGTGGACTTTTTGATATCGGGGTCAGAATCCAACTCCGGAAGTTGGAGTAGGTCCGTAATGTCGAATGTGACTTGCGTGCAAAATTTGAGATCAATCGGATGTGATTTGATAGGTTTTGACATCGAATGTAGAAGTTTGAAGTTCTAAAGTTCATTAAACTTGAATTGGGGTATGATTCATGATTTTGATATTGTTTGATGTGATTTGAGGCCTAGAGAAGGTCCATGATATGTTATGGGACTGGTTTGTATGATTGGACGGGGCTCTAGGGGCCTCGGGTGTGTTTCGGAGTGCTTTCGGGTCATTTCAGGCTGTTTTGCACTAGATGTTGCTGGTGTCTGGTGTTGTTCTTCGCGTTCGCGAGGATCCTCTCGCATTCGCGAAGAAGGATTTGGCTTCAGGGACTCTGTTCTTCGCGTTCGTGAAGATATCCTCGTGTTCGCGAAGAAGAAAATCTCTGTTGCACAAGTCTGACTTCGGAGGCTCATATCTCGCAATTTATAAGGAATTTGGAGATAATACAAAAATAAAATTTGTAGCTCTTTGTGTCTAGTTTTCAGAAAATTAATCTATTTAGCATTTGAATTTGTGTATCAAAAGTTATGTCTGGTACACTACAGGCTGTCCGGGAAGATGAAGAAGAAATTTGTGTTACACAAGGCTGACTTTGGCAGCTTATATCTCAAAATTTATAAGGAATTGGGAGATTACCAAAACATGAAAGTTGTAGATCTTGGTGTCTAGTTTTCAAAACATTAAACCATTTATCATTTAAATTTTTGTACAAAATGTTATGGTAATTATACTAGAGGCTATCTGAGAAGAGTTTGGGAAATGGTTTTTGAGAATTTTCTTCTTCGCGAACGCGGTGGGGTCTCGCAAACGCGAAGAAGAGTTGCCTGGGCAGTGTATAAGTGTAAAGAAATGGGTTTGGCTCATTTCATCTCATTTCCTCTATGTGAGCCGACCTAGGAGCAATTTTGGAGCTCCATTTTCATCCTCCATATCAAGGTAAGTGATTCTCATCTATTGCAAGTTAATTATTTGGATTATATCTAGATCTTAACATGGAAAATGATGTAAATTAGTAGAAATTTTGGGATTTTGAAGAAAACCTAGAAAATTTATATTCTTGAATTTTGACCACGATTTTGGACATGAAATTGAGAGTCAATTATATATTTGAGTTCGTGAGGTTGTGGGTAAACTTTATCTTCGCAAAATTTCGGAATCCGGGCATGTGGGCTTGAGGGCGATTTTGTCAACTTTTCGAGCGGAGTTGGAATTTTATATAAATTGAATTGTTATGAGTATTAGGGTGTATTTTCATTGGTTTGCCCGTTATTTGGCTAGTTTTGGAGTGTTGGGGCATCAATTTGAGTTGTTGGAATTGGCTTGGAAGTCGGTTACTGGACTTCAGAGTGAGGTGAGTCTCCTTTCTAATCTTGTAAGAGGGAATTGTCCCCATAGGTGAAATAATTGGTTAGGTGCTCCTATTTGTGGGAGCTACGTACGCACGAGGTGACGAGAGTCTGTGCGTACCTACTATTATGTTTGAGTTCGGGTAGTCTAGGACCCAAAAACATGCTATAATTGAAATATTTGTAATCGTATTAACAGTTTGAATTTCTTAAATCACGTCGAATTAGTAAACGAATTTCTAAAAAGATTAAACTTCATTTTCTTAAATTATTAAAAGAAAATTAGCTTTCTTTGGATAATTGTTCCATGTTGACTCCTTGGTTGACTGTCTATGTGTGTTTAATTTCGGAACGGGCCGAACGCCTCGGTAGATTAAATAGATGCATATATGGTTCGCGCTATTCGACCCTCTGGCAGTGCACAATTTAAATATTGTTGGATCGGGTCGTACGTCCTCGGTATGATTTGCGCATGCTTGTATTACTTGCCTTGAGATTTATTGATATTGATGTTGATATTTGCTCTCCCCGACTTGAGATAATTGAAAATTAATAGATTATGAATGCAAAGATTTTTAATATAAAAAGGAACTTTTACATGTTCGTGGCTTATTTGAAATTACTGTCGTTCTTAATAAATTTATGATTACTCGCATTAATAATATATTATTATTGGACCACTAGTAAGTGTCGAAGTCGACCTCTAGTCTCTACTTCTTCGAGATTAGACAGGATGCTCAGTGGGTATACGTTGTTTTCGTACTCATGCTACACTTGCTCTGCATTTTTGTTGCACAAGTTTATGTGTGGCTAGTGGCTTAGTAGCATAGCGGCATGGTTGACACGGGGACTTGGTGAGTTGCATTTATCAAGACGACCGCAACCAGCAGAATCTCCTTCAGAGTATTGTACTGTATTTTTATTTCTGTCCACTTGTATTTCGGACAGTTTCTGTATTTTATTTCATTCCCTAGTAAATGCTCATGCACTTGTGACACCTGATTCTGGGATGATTATTGGGTATTCTATATTAACTTCTAAACATTCTTTTATTTATTTTGTAAAGATTATCTTTTACTAGCCAAATTGAAGAAAAATCATAGTTTTCACAATTATTTAAACGAGAATTTAGTTAAGTATTTATGGTTGGCTTGCCAGACAGTGGTGTCTGGCGCCATCATGACCCTTAGTGGATTTTGGATCGTGACATATATCAAGATTAAAAGTATAAGTACATTTAATGGCTAGAGAATTTATTTTTTTAAGTCAGTATATAATACTTATCTCTTCTTGGTTCGTTCAATACATACAAAATGTACTAGCACAAGAAGTCGAAATTAAACCATTCCCATAATCAAGATAAAATACATTTAATTTTATGCTACAATCATTCCTGATGGTTTATCCAATTCAACCATTAGATTGTGAATGTGATCTTTATAATTATAAGAACCGATGATTTAATCTTCCGTGTATAAGCTAAACTCTATACACTAAATCATCTAATACTATATATGTAAAGGACACAAACAAATATATGATCCATTTAAAATTTTATTAAAATTGAATAAATAATTATTCCATAATAAATACTATATTCAAACCAAAATTCATGATTAATAGTATATATCCCAACACATAGCACTTCTCCTTTACATGTTGCTCTTACTTCACTCCATTCACACTCTCCTATATGCATCTTTCGTCTAAGATTTTTAGCACTGAATTTATTGTATTTATAATACTATAAGTTTGAAACTTAGTATTTGTTAAAATTTTCATTGTTTCGTATAAAATAATATTAAGTTTCATTAAACCAACACAAAATCTTAACCCATAGCATGTACGCTATATCCGACACTGTTTATAAGCTTTGTAATTGCAATTAATTACATACAACACTACTAGAAATATGCAAAAAATCGACTAAAATTTTCCGACCAAAAACCGTTCAACTTGGACGGAAACTGGAAAAAAAATATTTTATATTTTTTTAAAAAAAATACCCACCAAAGTTAGTCGGTAAATTGGTCAACAAATTGACTGAGCTGGTCAGACTTGCTTAGTCAAAGAAACTTTCACATTTTGGTAGGTAATGTGGATCCAATTTCTTAAATTTTAATAATTATATTATTATTTAAAATATTTTATAAAATTTAAAGAATTTATATTTAAAATTACCGACCAATGCTGGTCGGTTAATGCAGGGGAAGCATTTACCGACCAACTTTGGTCGGTATATTTTATTTTTTGGAAAATAACTGACCAAAGTTGGTCGGTTATTTGGTCAACATTGGTCAAAATTTTGAATCACTTTTATATTTATTATCTAAA